GGGGTGTAGGGTCTGGAGGAGGTTACAGAGATAGGGAGGGGGTGTAGGGGCTGGAAGGGGTTACAGAGATAGGGAGGGGTGTAGGAGCTGGAGGAGGTTACACAACTAGGGAAATAGGTGAGGGTTGCAGAGATTAATGTTAGCTGCAGGGAGCAGAGTTCTGGAGGAGCAGAAGGCTCTGGATTGAGGAATGTTGGGGAGCAGCCGGGAATGGGCCGGAAGGGGCACTGGGTTTGCAGGTTGGCAGAGGGAAGCAGAGAAAGGAGCAAGGTTATGTTAACTGGAGGAAATTAACTGGTGATGGTGTGACCATATGAGGGAGCGTGCAATCATTTCAGGATTCGGTCTGCATTGCCCTGAGGGGTGGTGGAGTGGGATGGAGTTAACAATGAGAGGTTGGAGTTTGGACTGGGAATTCTAACATCAGTCTTTACTGTATAAACCTCTAAATTGCTGGAGAAATTTGGAAGGTCTGGCACCAACTGTGGGGAGAAAAACTGAGTGTCGCCTCTTTCAGAGTCCCACTGCCCCCACACCCTGCAAGATTCATTTCCCGCCCGTCACAAACTGAAGTCCTGCATTTCTGTAGCACCTCCAGCTCAGTGGCGGAGTGTGCTCGGGGCTGAGTTGGATGGATTTTCCAGAGGCTGAAGGGAGGATTGAGGAGTGTTGAAGAGGAGGTTGGAGATGAAAAGGAGGAGCACGCTCGCGGTGGGGTAGGAGGGGTTTTTATTGCTGCTGAATGGCCTCATCCCTCTCCTCGCTTCCCAAGTGGCAATCCGGGCAGACAATTTGGCAAGTGGTGCTCCCCGGAGGGCAATGGCCGCCTGTGCATAGCAGGATCCCACAGGTGACACTGTAATAATGACACAGACGTTCTGATCTTCTGCCAATAGAAATTTGACAAGTTATTGAACAAGACACTGCAGGGGGCAGTGATAGGGTTGGGTGGAGTGTGCTAGGGGTTGGAATCTGGGTGAAAGCCAGCCTCATTCACCACAATGTTGTATCAGAATCTATCATTCGGGTTTCTGAGGAAGGGGCTGATTTGAGGGTGGGTACAGTTACGTCTCAGGCAGGCTGTCTGAGGAAGAGCACTCAATGTTTGCTGTCACACAGAGCTGTGTTCACCATTCTCACTGTGTCTTTATCTCTCCCCTCCCCGGCCCTCTCCCTCTCCCTTTCTCATCCCCCCCCCCCCCCCTCCCTTCTCCCTCTCTCCTCTCTCTCTCTCCCCTCTCCCTCTCCCTCTTCTCTCACCACTCCCTCTCTCTCTCTTCCTCTTTCCCACACTCCCTCCCCGCCCTCTCCTTCTCTCCTCTCTCTCCCCCTCTCCCTCACCTGCCCTCTCCCTCTCACCTCTCCCTCTCCCTCTCTCACCCTTTCCTGCCTTCTCCCTCTCTCCCTCTCCTGCCCTCTCTTTCTCTTCTCTCTCCCTCTCTCCCTCTCCTGTCCTCTCCCTCCCCCTCTCCACTTCCCTGTTCTCTCTCTCCCCCCGCCCCCTCTCTCTCTCCCCCTCTCCATCTCCTGTCCCTCTCCCTCTCCTGCCCTCTCCCTCCCCATCTCCATCTCCCTCTTCTCTCACCACTCCCTCTCTCTCCCCTCTTTCCCTCCCTTCCCCTCTCCTTTCCCCCCTTTCCTGCCCTCTCCCTCACCCCCCTCCCTCTCTCCCCCTCTCTCCCTCCGTTCCCCTGTCCCTTTCCCCCTCTCCTGCTGTCTCTGTCTCTCCTCTCTCTCCCCCACTCACTCTCCTGCCCCTCTCTCTCTCCTGCCCTCTCCCTTTCCCTCTCCCCCTTCCCTGTTCTCTCTCTCCCCCACCCTCTCTCTCCCCCTCTCCCTCTCCTGCCCTCTCCCTTTCCGTCTCCCCCTCCCTGTTCTCTCTCTCCCCCCTCCCTCCCTCTCTCTCTCTCTCTCCTGACAGACCCTGACACTGTGGTTGATGCTCAGCGTTCAGTCAGTTATGCGGTTGTTGGGGGAATGCTGGCCCTGTTTGTCTTTGTGATTATCTGCATGCTCATCGTAACCGTGTGGTTCTCCATGAGGCAGAAAGGTGAGGCACTGGTTTCCCACTTCACCCTGCTCCCCATCGCCTGAGACCGAGGACATCCCCCCATGCCCACACCACCCCCACCACCCCCGCCAGTAGGCTCCATCTGCCCCAGAGCCCCTAGCCATCCATCCTCTTCCCCCCAACTCCACCACCACAACGTATGCTCGTTAAACCCTTTCCCTCCTCCTCACCCAACCGCAACCTGCATTTGTCTAGCGCCTTCCCACCACCTCAGAACACCGCAGAGGTCTGAGAATGTCTCAGAGCGAATGAGGGGCTTTCAGAGATTCCTACACCATGAAAACAGGCCCTTCGGCCCAACTCGTTCATGCCGACCAGATATCCTGAACTGAACCAGTCCCATTTGCCAGCATTTGGCCCATATCCCTCTAAACCTTCCCCATCCCGATGCCTTTTAAATGTTGTAATTGTACCAGCCTCCACCACTTCCTCTGGCAGCTCGTTCCACACCCTCTGCGTGAAAAAGGTCCCTTTAAAATCTTTTGTCTCTCACCTTAAACCAATGTCCCTCTGGTTTTGGACTTCCTCACCTAGGAGAAAAGACCTTGTCTATTCACCCTAACCATGCCCCTCATGATTTATAAGCCTCTATAAGGTCACCCCCTCAGCCTCTGACACACTGTGGAGAAATAGCCCCAGCCTTTTCAGCCTCTCCCTATAGCTCAAACCCTCCAACACTGGCAACATCCTGGTAAATCTTTTCTGCACCCTCTCCAATTTAGTAATATCCTTCCCATAGCAGGGCGACCAGAACAATACACAGTACTCCAGAAGAGGCCTCACCAACAACACAGGAAGAATTCTGAAGGAAGAACAGGTTGGGGGTGGGGAGTGGGGAGTGGTGAGTGTCTCATAACACAGCCCTGGGCGTATGATCCTACAGTGACCACTCAGAGTTATAGAATCCTACAGCATGAAAACAGACCCTTTGGTCCAACCAGTCCATGCCGACCATAATCCCAAACTAAACTAGTCCCACCTGCCTGCTCCTGGCCCATATCCCTCCAAATGTTGTAACTGTACCCACATCCACCACTTCCTCTGGAAGTTTGTTCCACATACAAACCACCCGCTGTATTTAAAAAAAATTGCCCCCATGTGTTTTTTTAATCTTTCTCCTCTCACTTTAAAAATATTCCCCCTCATCTTGAAATCCCCCGTCCGAGGGAAAAGACATCTGCTATTCACCTTATCCATGCCTCTCATGATTTTGTAAACCTCTATAAGGTCACCCCTCAACCTCCTATGATCTAGTGAAAAAAGTCCCAGCCTATCCAGTGTCTCCCCATAACTCAAACCCTCCAGTCCCAACAACATCCTGGTAAATCTTTGCTGAACCCTCTCCAGTTTATCCTAGAATCCCTACATTGTGGAAACAGGCCCTTCGGCCCAACAAGTCCACACTGACCCTTGGAGCATCCCACCCAGATCCATCCCCCTATAACCCACACACCCCTGAACACTATGGGCAATTTAGCATGGCCAATCCACCTGCACACCTTTGGACTGTGGGAGGAAACCAGAGCACCGGGAGGAAACCCACTCAGACACCTTGAGAATGTGCAAACTCTGCATAGACAGTTGCCTGAGGGTGGAATCGAACCCCGGTCCCTGGCGCTGTGAGGCTGCAGTGCTAACCACTGAGCCACCGTGCCGCCTGTAATAATAATAATTTAATAATATCCTTCCTATAACAGAGCGACCAGAACCGCACACAGTATTCCAGAAGAGACCTCACCAATGTCCTTTACAACCTCAATATAACGTCCCAACTCCTATACTCAAAGGTGTGAGCAATGAAGGCAAGTGTGCTAAATGCCTTCTTAACCATCCTGTCTATATGTGACGCAAACTTCAAAGAATTATGTACCTGAACCTCTAGGTCTCTCTGTTCTACAGCATGACCTGGGGCTCTACTTTTAATTGTATAAGTCCTGACCTTGCTCGTTTTATCAAAATGCAATACCTCACATTTATCTGAATTAGACTCCATTTCCCATTCCTCAGCCAATTGACCCAATTGATCAAGATCTCTTTGTAATCTTAGATAACCTTCTATGCTGTCCACTATACCACCAATTTTGAGGTCATCCACAAACTTACTAACCATACCTCCTATATTCTCATTCAAATCATTTATATAAACATCAAAAGTAGACCCAGGATTGAAAAGATCGAAATTTGATTTGGAATCAAAAACCAGCCACGTTGTCGTTAAAACCCCATCTGCGTTCATTAATGTCCTTTAGGGAGGGAAATCTGCCCGTTCTCATCCATTTTGGCCCACATGTGACTCCAGAACCACAACAAAGTGGTTGAATGCTAACTCTCTGAGCCATCCATTCTGTTCAAAGGGGCAATTAGGGATGGGTATCAAACACTTGACCTCTCCGGCATTCTGTGGATAAAGTGGCAAAAAAAAAAATTAATGCCTCACTCAATATTCCAAAGTGAAAAGTGTTGAAGGGCCCAAGCTCTTGTCCCATTTCTGGCTGTGGGAGCTTACTGTGCATTAGTCACATTTCCTTCACCCCCATCACGGTTGACCCACTGAGGTTGCGGAAGACTCTATGGAAATGCTCGAATGTTCAGCTTTGCTTGGTTGGCACACCCAATCTCACTTTCCAAATTCCTTTGTGACTCCAACCTAGGTTCGTACCTGACGCATGAAGCTAGCGGATTGGACGAGCATGGTGAGGCGCGGGAAGCTTTTATTAATGGGAACGAGAGCCATGAGAGGAAGAAAGAATATTTCATCTAGAGAGAGAGAGAGAGAGAGAGAGAGAGACGGTCGCTAAGTGGCCCAGGAACTCAATAGGCTACTTGTAAACACTGATGAAACTTGCCTTTTCTTTTAATCGATGGCTTTGTTATTAGCAAGTATTCCACCTCACAGCACTGATCACTGATGATCTCTGGTTTGGATTCTGTGTTGTCTCTGTTACAACTGGAGCGGTTTTGTGGCTGGTGGAAATAAAAGAGCCCACAAAAGTCTGTTCAGCAAACAATGGGACTCCCAAGGCTATTTAAGATGAACAACGACAGAGGGAGATTACTACTTCGGCAAATCTGGTCGGTGACAACTTCCCTTCCCCCCTCTCACACCACCCCTCACCTCAATTGCCCCCACCTGCCACTCCCTAACCCCTGCACACATTTCAGGCTGGCTCGAGGATAGACTGAAGGTGGAGTCAAGCCGTACTTTTTTCCATTCAAAGACGCAGTCTACTTTTTTTGGTGAATGAGAGTGTATCAGATACTGAGATTATCCGCCGTCTTCTGCTGGAGGACCTACTCCTGTCAATGCGACCCTCGTTTTCTCTCTCAGTTTAATTACTGTGGTTTCTTGGCCATGGTGAACTGCTCCTATGGGCTTAAGTCATTACCAGAAATTCATTATTTTTAACTATTGTTGTTTAACTGTTGTTTCTCTGGGTTCTCACTGCTGGGAATTGAGAGTATTTGACCTCACTGAGCAGTAATACTAACTACTTGTGGACCAGTTACTGCCCCTAGCCCCAACTATCGTAGGATCACTGCAACACAGAAGAAAGATCACTCGAACTATCACAATTGTGTAGCACTTGGAAGACAATGGGGTTAATCATCATTGGTCCTTGTCGGCAATTTATTGCAACTTAACCCTGAGAAAGATGTTACCACAAAGAGAATCCTTGAGAAATTCTAACCAGTATTGAAACTGTCTGATGCTCAATGAAATGTACATTTGGTCAGTTCAAAGCAATTGGAGATGATGACTTCAACTCCCACAGATGAGAGAGGTGAATCTTTAAAGATTCAATCAATATATTTTAGTCAATGTATCAGATGACAGATTGATCTTGTCCCATCTCATTAACCACTAGGCTGTGCAGATAATATCATGATTTGTAGCTGAGGAGGGATGTTTCCAAAGATTTTCATCATTCGATTATCAGGTCGAATGCAAAAGTGCCAAATTTCAACGATTTCTATTGCAGAAGGAAGGAGTGCCAACTGTTTAACAAGTCGACTCTGATAGGACAAGTCTTGCTCCTGGGTTGTACAGAAGGAATGAGGCTAACACACGTTCCCTCTGATTTGCTGTACCTAGCTCTCTGTGTCTCATCCCTCGAGTGTAAGTTACGAGCTCAAACCGATTCTCTCGCGTTGTAGTGGTTGTTGTAAGCATCGGCACACTCGAGATTGTTCGGAAGGTCTTCTTCCCTCATTTTGGAATTGGACTGAAAAGTAGCCATTTTGTTTTGGGAGCTAGCAAGCATGGAGCTGTGGAGGGTACAGTCTGTGATTTACTGATTGTGAGCAGCTGATTTGATTCAAGCAACTGACCATTGGAATATGTGACCTACCTGGACTCACACCATTGGAATTCACACACAATGGTGCTCAATTTCCAAATAGGCAGAGCGTCTCTTTTGGACTGACTGTAGAATCGTGTTTAGGGGGATATCCAGAGCTTGGGGACTCTATAGCTGTGTCTGTGGAAAACCCAGGTCTTGCCGACTAATTGTTTTCTGCTGTGGTGTAAATTGCAATTTCCTGAGAAATTTGGCATTCTTGCATTTGAGGTCCTGATGCGAGACAAAAAGCTTCAGTGACATATCTCTCTCTTTCCGACGAGAGTCACATTCTGTCCCACAGTCTGCACCATTTTCCCTCCTCTACCTGCGTTGCCACGGGATGTTGCGTCTTTGGATTGAGGATTTTGTTTGATACCAACCTGCATGTTGATTTTTGATCACTGATGCCCTTTTATTCTCCCTGGGGACAGTAGGCTAATTCGGACCAGTCAAGAAAGGGTTAATTTTCTGTCACTGAAATTTTGGGGCTGATTCTGCACACTCCCCCGACAGGGTTACGGGGAGCGGAAGTGGGGGGGAGTGGGGGATGGTGGGGAGAGGGGAAGATATAGTCTTTGGGTAAGAGTCTGACCACTTCAGACTGAGATCAGGATATTCCTGGGCCCTGAGGGATGAGGAAGAAAGTGGAGGTGAGTTAGAAGGGCAGCCGCGATCTTGGGGAATGGGGAAGGGATGCCTAATGGGCCAAAAGGCCTCACCCTAATCAGTTGCAGGATTTCGTCATCATAACTTTGAGACAGACTTGTGAAGGAGATGATTGTTTTCAAGAGAGCTATGTGATCTTCCCATTCATCCCCTCTGCCTGTGACTCAGTGGAGCATTTTGATCCCCCAACCCTCCACGCCAACCTCTTTTCCGGGGAGTCTGGGGTCTCCGTACCAAATCTCTCAGGAGGAAGAACTTGGGAACGGTTTGGAAATCCCACTTCTGCCAATGGAAGTCGATCGATGGTCGATAAAAGATCCATCAGCTCAATCGATTTCCAATTATCCAAGGAGATTAAGGGGGAATCTGGAGCAATGGCCCGCATGGATCAGTTGGGATCTCATTGAATGTTGGGGATAGCTCAGAGGGGCTGAATGGCCTCCTCCTGCGCTTGTTGGACAGTTGCTTAACTTGAAGGCCTCTTGCGGCGCATTGGTAGTGTCCCTAACTCTGGACCAGGAGGCATTAGTCTCCGGTCACCGCCTCGACTCCCCGGTAGCTCTAAAGAGAGAGAGCAGCCCCTTCCTCCGAAGGGTCGGAGTGGGGGCGAGGGAACCGGGATCTGAGGATGCTGGCTGTGTTTGGAATCCCACCCCAGGAAACTTGATTGGAAATCTGAATTTTCTCTGGTAGTACTGCCATCCAGCCCCCTGGTGGCCCACGCTATGTGGCCAAGTGAAGACACTGCCTCTGCCAGGTTTTCCTTCCTTTGGGTTCCATTCAAACCAATGCAGAATGACACCAACAGTGTGGGGTTCGATTCCCACAGTGGCTTTGGTTATCCTGAGCAGCTGTCCTTCTCAACCTTTTCCCTTGCCTGAGGTGTGTTGGTGCTCAGGTTAAATCAGCCCCAACCATCTCTGCCTCTCTATCTCCCTCTCTGTCTATCTCTAATGAGAGAACAGCCCTATGGTCTGGTAGGACTCTATTAGGGGGTCAGTTTTCTGGTTAGAGGTGGGTCTAGAGCTATTATCCCTAGACGATTAATCCAGAGACCCAGGTGATATTCTGGGGACCTGGGTTCGAATCCCGCCACGGCAGCTGATGGAATTTGAATCCAATAAAAATCTGGAATTAAGAGTCTGACGATGACCATGAAACCATTGCCGATTGCCAGGAAAATCCCATCTGATTGACTAAAGTCCTTTAGTGAAGGAGATTTGTCAGCCCAACCTGGTCAGGTTTCCATGTGACTCCAGACCCACAGCCTCTGGGCACTTAGGGATGGGCATTAAATGCTGGCCCTACGGTGACAGCTCATGAATAAATGAACGAATGAAAAAAAAATCAGTGATATCAACAATTCCTAAGCCGATTGGAGTTAACCTCCTCGATCCTTCCCCTTGCATGAGGTACAGTGACCCTCAGGTTAAACCACTACCATCACCTCTCTCTCTCTGATGAGAGCGTCGGGCTATGGTGTCTTTAACTTCTTATTCAATCAGACATGAATATTGCAGGGAATTCAGCGGGTGGAAAAACGCTGGGGTTTTCTCCTTTATTTCTTAAAAAATAAATTCATTATGATGTGGGGGAACATAGTTGCACCATATCTTTTATCCTTTCTTACCAATACCCACCAGCAGAGAAGGGGGTGGCTCAGTGGCACTGCAGCCTCACAGCACCAGGGACCCATGTTCGAGCCCAGCCTTGGGCAACTGACTGTGTAGAGTTTGCAAATCCTCCTCATGTCTGCGTGGGTTTCCTCCAGGTGCTCCGGTTTCCTCCCACAGTCCAAAGATGTGCAGGTTAGGGTGGATTGGCCATGCTAAATTGTCCCATAGTGTCCAGGGATGTGCAGGCTAGGTGGATTAGTCATGGGGAATGCAGGGTTACAGGGATAGACCGTATCTGGATGGGGATGGTCCTCAGAGGGTTGGTGTGGAATCTATGGGCCAACTGTAGGGATTCCACGAATTCCCAATACAACTCAGGATTTTGTTAACGTTTTTATCAGAGACAGGGAGACGGGAAGGAGCTGGTTGCTTCTTGTAAAGGCAAGGATGACAGCGAAGGCAGGCACAAATCCAGACAGGATAAGACCACAGATCAGCTCTTCCAAATACATGCACTAAAAATGCAGCTGATACTGGAGACCTGAAACCAACGAGCACAGAAAATGCTGGAGAAATTCAACGGGTCTGGCAGCATCTGCAAAGAGAGAAAGCGGAGTCAATGTTTCGGGTCCATTGGGAGAGAGAAAGCAGAGTTAACGTTTCGGGTCCAGTGACACTTGTTCAAAATATCTACCCTTGTTAAGTAGCTGCTTTATTCAGCCTTTTTTTTTTGCTTCAAAAGCGGTGTACAGTTTTAGGAAACGTGGGAGATGGTAGACCCCTGTATCCTTGAGCAGAACGAGACGCTCGCTTAGGATTCATTTTCCAAACTTGGTGGCCAGACTTTCCCAAGCAGTTGAAAAGTTTGAGAGGAGGGGACACAAACAGAAATTGCTGGATATATCCAGCAGATCTGGCAGCAGCTTTGGAGAGAGAAATCAGAATTATAATTTCGGGTTCAGTGACCCTTCCTCAGAACCTTTCTTTTTTGGGTGTTTGTGGGCAGGGGTGGTTGGTTCTCATTGTGTTGCAATGAACAAGACTTTCACAGGAGCTTAGCCAGGTGCCGATTTTATATTCTTGCCTGTTACATCAGCCAAACTTCAAATTGAAAACTTTTTTGGGGAGCAGGGATGGGGTTTGGGGGTGGGGAAGGAGGGTGGGTGCTTCAGGGACATGTTTTTTTTCTGCCAGGCCTTAATTACCAGCCACTGAGATAAGCCATGTGTAATCTACAAATCAGGGTCTTTGCTGGCTGACCCACTGGACCCTCCAAGATGCACAAATTATGGTACAGAGCAGCTCAATAAGGAATTTAGCACGCACTCCTGATGCAGTCTGAAAGCTAAAACAAAAGCATCCAGAGGGCATTAATTGGGAATGAGGACCTCTCACTGTGGCAGAGTCACCAGGGGGCCATGCCATCTTAAATTACAAATGATTGGCGTCTGAAATAATGTTTCTTTTCTTTCCGACCTTCATCAGCAAAAGGGCACTGTGTCTGATTCTGCTCAGCGTACGCTTTGTAAAGAGCCTCGGAGATAGGGGGTTGGTGGGTGGGGCTAGGTGTTGTGCAGAGGAGATTTACCAGGATGGTGCCAGGGGTGAGGGTCTTCGGTTCATGTAGAGAGACCAGGAGAGGCAGGGATCGTTTCCCCCTGGATCTGGGAGAGGTTCAGGGAGAGATTGAATAGGGACGTTCAGAATCACTGGGGTTGGGGGTGAGGGGTAGTGGGGGATTTTGATCGAGTCGATGAGGGAGAGAGACCGTTCCCGGGTGCAGGAGGTTCAGTCACCAGAGGGACACGGATGGGAGAGAGTTGGGAAAAGGACCAGGTTGGGTGGGGGAGGGCGAAGACTTTGTTTGCTGATGCAGCAAGTTGCTGTTGCATCAGGGACTGAAAGGGAACAAATTGAATAGGAACTTTCAAATGGGGGGGGGTGGGGCGGAGATTGGTAGGAGGGTAAAAGCGAGGGGTGTGGGGGGCGGGGGGTGGGGGGAGGGGGGAAGACTGCATGGGTGGGAGGAGTTGAGTATGACTAATTGGAGACATCTTTCAAAGCACTGTCACAGGCAGTATGGGCTGAATAGCCTTTTTCCCCAGCTGGGTGAATCTATCCGCTGCATAAGCAAATGTGCGATGTTCCAGTCTCGTATTAAGGATCTGATATTCCAACCCACACCACCACCCCCCACCCCACAACTCACC